GCTATTAAAGCGCTAAGAAATAACAAAGAAACGTATTAAATGTCTTTCATATTTATATTATACTAGCTTTTAACCACGACTTCGTTTGCGAGATCGGGATATGTTTACTGACCGGGATGAAAAATAGTCTATATCCTTCTCCGCACCATATAGCTGTTTCATGGTAAAAACACGAATGGGACAGGTGTGCCCAAGCAAATAAATTTTGTACAAAGTCTCCCACTGTTACTCATAAAACACTTATTTGTACTTTAATACAATCTGTTATTACCGTTTTTATCCTGACATTATCTTTTTGAAGTCGCCTAAAACTACCTAATACAGTATATTATTATGTATATTATTTACTTTAATAAGTAGGTCAATCAAAAGTATCTAAGGATTATCATCATATCAGCGTTTAACTGTCCATTGCTGAACATAAACCTTCCCCTTGGGAAGTTTTGCCAGTTGCCACGCTTGGTAGGCGGAATGGTAACCGCAAATAGATTTTGGACATGTTTTAAAAGGAACGCAACTGTCCATTTTTCCTTGGTCGCCTCTTACGACAGCCATGGGAAAGGAAGAGTGATCGATTCTATTCCGGTATCTACACAGCCAGAAAGATTAATAGACTAATTTAACATGTGACAATATTCTTATTTAAAAAACAATATTAAAAAATTACAAAAAAATAAATAAATTGTTGAACGGTAAAGCACGATCCGTTGTCGTGTGTGTGTTCGTTCAAAATTAAACAAATCGCAGCCAATTTGTGGCAGTTGTAATTAACCTTGTTGAGTGTAAACATTTCACCCATGAGTATCCAGACCAGAACTATTGCGCGGCGTGAAGCAACATCCATTAACTTATCAATTTATTGTCTATCTACATGTTTATCTCGAGTTTTCGTAACCGTTTTCATTATTTTACTTGTTGCATGAAAAATGTAAAACGTACATGTTCAATGCAAATTAGTTATATTATTTGTTTGTGCAAATCATGTCAGACATAAATAGATCACCATACAGACCTCTAGGTATATCTGGAAGTAAAATTCTTCCAGTCTGTTTGAGTGAGAGATGATAGGTGAGAAGGAAAAGGCAGGTCAGTTAACCCATCTTGATGAATACACTTGAAATTTAGCACAATGGTTTCCAGGAGAAGCTGCGGGGAGGTTGATATGACAGGGTATATTGCTAACAATGTAACTCGCAGTACGGTATGGTAGTCTGCACAAATACCTTCCCCCGGGGGTATCGCGGTTTGTTCTTTTATCACACCGTTTCATCTTTCTATTATTTTGATCCTTGTACAATAAAAACGTTATGTCTTATGTTTTATTTTTTTATACCCTAGAATGGCAAACAAGCTGACGACCCACCTGATGGAAAGTGGTAACCGTCGCCTATAGACATGAACAGTAGTATGGACATAACAGAGTATACTGTTATTATGCCGACCATGATACCCTTAATGCTTAGCTATTCTTGAGGACCACGGTGTTGCGCCTCTGTATCCTGTAATTTCATTGCCATATCCTATCCATCAAACAGAAACACAGCCATGCAAACACAACTTCTTCATAGCAGAAATACAAATGGAACAAACGTACCCAAGCAGATGATTTTTGTAGTCTTCCCTTGGTCCTCTGTTTGTACTAGGTGTTTTATGTATTATTATTTCAGCCGTTAACTGTCCACTGCTGAATATAAGACTTCCCCATAAGGGGAGTTTTGCTAGTAGTTGGCACGCTTGGCAGGCGGGTTGGCAAACGCAGTTAGGCTTTTACACATGTTAACCATAAGCTTTCTTAGTCGCCTCTTACGACACCCACGGGAAAGGAAGGGGTGGCCCATTCTATGCCAGCATGGCGAATATGTTATGTATGTTTTATGTATAATGTATATATATTTATAAAAAAAAAGTATTTAATGTATACTATATAAAAAAGTTTCGCATATTTTGAGACTAGATGGCGGTATAAAACGTTTTTAACGTAAATTGAAAACACGACCAATGCTAGAGACATAAATAGACATATTATGGTGAAAATGTAAAAGTATGGAGAGATCTGACATGACTTCGCAGTTATGTTATATCGATCACCATTAATATAATATTAGCTAGAAACGTATCCATGAATCATTAAGCAGTTTAATAATAATAATAAATGGCTATACCTACTTGTAATTACAATTACTGTTCGTGCGTTAATAAGGTGCAATAAATTCAATGTAAACTATATTATGTTATAATTTATTACACTGACTTCGATTCCAATAATGCCATTCTGAAAATATTATAGAAAAAATTCTAGATTTACAAAAATTACAATCTTAAGTAAACCTAATTAAAAATAAATTAGGTCAGTTATTGTAGGACAGGAAATGAGGGGAGATAAGTTATGTAGACCCCAAATTATAGACATATACATATATATATATATATATATATATATATATATATATATATATATATATATATATATATATATATATATATATATATATATATATATATATATATATATATATATATATATATATATATTATAGTATATAATATATGTATATATATTTCAATGTTTAATAATTTTTTACTTGGACAAGCAAGTGTAATAGTTCTTTACATTATGAGTTTAAAAAATATACAGGCAGTTACATTTTTTAATACTTATTTATAAAAAAATGTAGTTTTTAAATTTTTACATATTATATAACAAGTATAAAAAAAAATAACGTATAAAGGGAGAGTGTAGATCTATCAGATAAATAAAAATGTTATGAATAATAAGTAGATTGAATATACATATGTAATAATTAGTAACGATATTTCATGTAAAATCACATGGGAACTCTTGTTTTTATTATGTATGCAGCCGTTTGGAGGTTTTGTAAGAGATCATTATTTTCTCTCAAACTGCCAAACCAATTTGCATCCAATTTTTGTAGAGTCATAAAGAAAGCGTTGGTACAATTTCTAAAGTGTTATTGCAAGGCATTTATTAATTACTTGTTTAAATATCTCAGTAACAATATTTTATATGAAACTGCTTGGGAATCATTTCTCAGTATTTCAAGTACCAACAATAGGTAATTATCGTATAGTCATCATGTTAAGATAATTTTTTTATTTTCTCCAAAATTTCTGTATAATTACTTAGGTAATAGTGTACAAAATAGAAAAAAAAAAAATGTTGACTATTATCGTTATCATGATGGTAACATTTGACATGCCCAAATTTCGGGGTTACCCACAACAAAACAAGTCTGGTGGCACCTATTAAGAATAGAAGGGGGGAGAAGGGAACGCTAGTAATGGGGACTAGCAACTTTATTGCTAGCAATATACTCTATCAAGTTGACCTCCACACAGATCCCTCTGGAAATCATTATGATTAATTCTTGTGGAATTCGTCACGATGGGCTAATTGACCTGCTTTCATCCTCATCTATCATCTTTCATTGGTGCTCCAACTGCGTATGCTAATACCGCAAGTAGGGTTACTATTCCATTTTCACCCATTAACACCCCATAAGGGAAGGTTTGCCAGTAAGTTTTAAGCTCAGCAGAGGACAGTTAAGGGCTGATATGATGATGATGATGATGATTTTTATATAGGAATTTTCAAATATTACTTATTATAATTGGACCCTTTGAGGTTTTTTCACATGATTTCAATTTGATCCCAATTTATTTATTTTATTATTCAATTTGCTGGTAAATTACACTATTATTATAAAATTTTGTGAGGATAGATGTATGGATGGATGTTTGTTACCAATTCATACAAAAATTACTGAACGAATTTAAATGAAATAAACGAATAAAGCAAAACGCTGAGTTGTGGCCTTTTTGTATTACTGTGGCACACGCATGAAGAAAAAAAAATTTTTACTAATTTTATGCATTCTGATTTTGATTTAGTTTTTTTTTTTTTAATTTTTTGTACATGTATATTTTTTTTATCTTTTTTCACTTTGCATTTGTGTTTTTTGCTGTTTGTGTGCTATAAGTAATGCAAATAAATTATTTATCTATCTATCCATCTATCTAATAATACAGGGGTAGGTTATATTCCGAATTACAATATAGGGTACATTATATACTAATTCTAAGTTACAATAAAAGACAATAGCAACAATTTTATTTGGTATGTGGTAACACTATGATTTTATTTCGTGTTTACCATCACTTGAATTAGGGAATTGTGTTTTCTCAGAGGCTGTCAACACTCATTGTGCTAGACGAAATTGTAGTGAAAGTAATTATGAATTTAATTTTATTAATTATATGCCTTTATTACCGTTTACATCATGAAAACCGCGACTTTCACGGGCGTAATGGCCATTGTGTAATGGTGCAAGCAGATTGTAATCTCATAACTAAAAAAGTTTTTTTTAGAATTACGGTTAACTAGACCATAGTTGTGGTTATTTTAGTTTTTTTATGTCTCGTTGTGTGAAGTTATGATGAAATTTTTGTTTTTGTAATGTTTTTTTTTATGGATATGGTATGGATCGGGTCATAATTATATATTTATTTACTTATTGAACTTTTACTACTTTTACTTTGACCTATATTTAATTAAATTAGTAATTAAAAAAAATTATATACGTAGTTTTTTATTATAATTTAAAGGTACGTAATTCCGTGGGTGCTAGCAAAACTTTTTACCGACCTTAAAAGCCTCAAAGAAAATGTATTCCAGGGATGAGATTTTTTTTTGCTAAATGTATAAAAGAGTATTTATAGTTTTTGTTAGAAGTGTTATTTAATATGTAAGTTGATATTGAAAAGACTCATCTTCTCAATATCATATTTTTTAATATCATATTATCAATTAAAGTAATAATAATAACAATTTAAAATTAAAAACTTTAGGGGGGTAGAAAATAAACCATTGTATAAAATAGACGAAATATGATTATGAATCTCTTGTTTAAATAGATGAATTTATATTAAAAATTAAAATGCTTTATTAAGTTTTTTAATAATATTATGAATCTGAAACTTACATCATTTCCGAACAGTTCACTATTGACATCCAAGATCGAAGTTAGGATTGTTGCCAGAAGCACTTTCTGCCAATAAACCACCATTATTAAATTAAATGCACTATTTGTAATAGTAATTTAAACTGATAAATGTCACATTTTCTTTTATTAAATATAAAATAAAACGAAACTAAATTAATTGTGAATGATGTTGTTTATGTCATCTTATTGGCGCGCGTTTTTAATTTTCGAATTGTAGGCATATTATGTTGACGCCTACTTTTGTTACTTTTTTTCGCGCAAAGGAAAACTAGCGTACAGCCTCTTCTCGCGATTTGCTCGCAGGCGGCAGATCGCGGTGTTTCGCGGCCTGCGACTGTGCGGTTTTGTGCAACTGATATGGAACAAAACACGGTTAGAATGGATAGTGCCGTGATTCCATCGATGAATTTTGTCTATTGTATATATATAACAATAGTTTTTATTTCATTGAATACTTTGTCTGTCGACTAGGCGATTTTTTATGACCTAATAATTGTTGATAAAATATTTTTTACTGTTTTATATGCTTTATCTAAAATAATTATATTGTTTAATTAAATCATATATTTCCATAATTGTATTCTTATACTAATTAGAAACTTATATTACTGCCTAATTATTTCATGTATAAATTATCTATACATAAAAAGACTAATTGACTAATTTTAAATTCCTTTTCGTAAGCATCCAATAAGAATGGATTTGATAAGTATAGGAATTGGATAAAATAAAATAAAATTTTCGTGGAAAAAGCCGTGATAAGTAACTAGGTTAGTCGCAAACGTACCTAATTGAACTAAAACAATGATTATTAAATTTTTTTATATTAAATAATATTATGTTGAGAAATGTTACCTTCCGAGAGCTCGATTCAACGGGTTTCAAACCTACATACATGTCCCTCCTATATGGGTCGAGTGTATTTTAAGTACGCAACTGTCGAAAGGTAAAATTTTTCATTTTCTTATTTAACATTCCTGAATGCAAAGTCCATGCTTTTTAAAATATTTTTAACTACATGCTAGGTATTATTTTTAGTAATTTTCGTATTATATTCGTTATATACCTCTTATTCTATGCATTGTGAGACATCAAAATAACATCTTTAACATGGATCTCTATATTTGTGTATGTACTGACACCTACGAGCTTGTAGGTTAAGTATAATTAAAATAATAGTTATGGGTGATAATTACAACAATTGACCTCTGGAAAATTTAATTAGTTTTAGTAATTTAGCTGACTAAATTACATTCAATAGCTAAAAAAGGTTTGTAGTGGGTTTTAGTTTTTATGAATAAGAGGTTCGATTATATAGAGTATCAACAACACAGTATCAAAAATGTGTGGAGTATCAACAGCAAGTCAAAATTTAGTTGACTGATTTGACATTTGTTTGTTTGTTGTTAAAATTTTGAGACAGTTTTTATTATAAACAAAAGGCGCCATTTATTTATTGTTGCAAATAATTGAAATAAAAATTTCCCAGGGTTTTTAAATTTAAATTAGGAACGTACATATAGCTTACTATATAATATTAAAATTAATTAATATTAAATAATAAAATAAAATGTTGACATTTTTAATGATTTAATAACGAAAACATGTTTTATCTTTATACTTATTGTTAGATGTAAGTCAAAGAAGTCAGTAAAAATATGCTTATTGAAAAAATTTGGTATTGTTTTTGTTTTACAATTTAGTATTTTAATTTAATTTCTCCCATATATAGAATAATAAATGTACATTATGGCAATCCTATTCACGCACCATGGATATTAAATTTGACCTGCTTTAGTATGGAGACCCTGTCTAGGTATATAATCCAAGATTATTATTTTTTAAAATAATTACTATAATCGTAATTACATTAGTAAATTTAATAAGTGTATTGTGTGTGTTATGATATATAGGCTACTTTTTATCCTGGACAGAAACATATCACAGTCAAGTGGACGAAGTCGCGGGTAAAAACTAGTAACGTAAATAAATCTAAATATATAAAAATTAATGCCACTTTTCGTTGTAATTTTATAATTCAAGAACGGGCTCACCTATCCAAACAAAATGTTTTTAGGCTTTGTTCGGACTATTTAGTAGATGGTTTATGTGAAGTTTGCACAAAACCGATCGAGCGGTTCTTCATTTATCACATTTTTTGTAACAAATGAATTCAATAAATGGCGGATCATTTTGTTAATGGGGATTTTTGTGTCATGTTCAAACTTTTCTAAAATGGGGATTGTGCTGTCAAATTGAAACTTTTTTCAGTGTTGACAGTACAAGCATGTTGTTATGTCATTTATGCGGTCATTTAATTTTTTTTTTATTATTTTACTTTATACGTAGCAAAGCATGTACCGGGCCGCTAGTTATTTATACAAGAGTAGAAATTAAACCCTTCGTATAGTATCATAGCATATTTTGTAATGTTCACTATGCTGGTAATGTATATAGGCGATGGTTACCACTTTCAATCATGTAGGCTGTCAGCTTGTTTGCCATATTAAACAATATAACAAATTACTAATTAAATATTTATATATTACTAATTAATTATATTTCTTGCTTATATTAACTAACTACGATAAGTAGGCACATCACTACGGCTGCAATTCTCACGATCTATTTAATTTGCATTTGCATTTAAATACACTTTCATCTATAACTCTATAAATATGCATAGTAAGGATGTATCTAGTAGCTGGAAGAACTAGTAATCTATGTATGAAAGATATTAAGAGGTTGGAAATCGCAGTTTAAGGCTTTTTGTGATCTTTTAAGAGGGATGCTGCTGCCCATCCCTTAGCCTTAAACCTTCCCTAGTTACGGGAAAAAAGGGGTAACCCATTCTATGTCGAAACTATACAAATTTATTATTGACCCTCCATATTTTACCATAAATGGCGTGTAAATCTACTTTTAATATAGTAGTAAAATTCCATTAATATGTATAATGTATTATAAATTAATAATTGTGATGTTATGAATATATGTAGAAAAAAATTAAAAAAAAAAATATATATATATATATATATATATATATATATATATATATATATATATATATATATATATATATATATATATATATATATAATTTTTAAAATCATCTTATTTTATGCAATTTAGAATGGCAGACTAGTTGACAGTCTACCTGGTGGAAAGTGATAGCAATCGCCTATTGACATGAGCAGTATCATGGCCATAACAGAGTATACGAGTACTTTCGATATGTGTTCATCTGTAACATATTCCATTACATATTGTATATTTATTAGTGAATTCGAAATCATACTAGTGAAATTAAACATATTTGTTCCAAAGGAAAATTAAAGATATAACCAAAAATACGCATATACGTATACGTACGGGGCTATCATGGGCGAAACAGTATACTCTGTTAAGTCCATGGTACTGCTCATGTCTATAGGCGACGGTTACCACTTTCCATCACGCGGGCCATCAGCTTGTTTGCCATTCTAAGTTGTATAAAAAAAAAATATCTTTCATACTGACACGACTTACTGTCCAGTTATTATGAGAGATTTAATTTTTTTTTTGTTGTTATCAACCGACTTCAAACAGAAGAGATTTCTTAATTCGGTAATATTTTTTTTTAATGTTTGTTACCTCACAACTCTGTCAGCTGCAAAATGATTTGGAAAATGTTTTTTTTTTTATTTGAAAGGATTTTTATCAAAATTTAATTTAGCTTTTAACTCAAAATAACTGGTTTTGCCACAACAGAAGTAATTATTTTTGGAATATAATCTTATATTATTAGACATTTATCTCGTAGGAAATAATGCATTTTGAGATTCATTCAATCGTAAATTAATATTATATAAGAGGAAATATTAGATTTTAATATATTTGTAGTATTGAGCACGTTTGCTGTGTCTCATCTGCGGTATACGATTCGTGTGGTTGGTTCGGCCGCGGAAACTGCGGCTAGAATCAAACATTCAAAGTATAAGATTCTCGAACCAGCTTACATCTTCCTTTCCGGTGCTTTTGAGACTACGGGCGTGTGGGGAGCGGAAGCGAAATCCTTCATAAGAGAGTTGAGTCTGCACATTGCGGATAGGGGCCATGATCGCTGTTCTGGTTCGTCTCTGGATCAAAGGATATTTGTGGCAATCCAACGCGGAAATGCCGCAAGTGTCATGGGGACCTTCGGGTCGGGTACGGATCATGAATGGGACTGATCAAAAATTAATTTTTGTTTTTTTTTTTGTGATTCTGTGAAATATATTAGTTGTTTATTGTGATTAATTATTTAAAATATATAATATAATAAATGAATTCAAATAAATATTTGTAGTATTTATTGTATATTGTTATAAGTAGTTTTTGAGTATATTTAATATAAATAAACTCACAAACTACTTAACCAATTTAATTTTTTTTTTCACCCATAGAAAGCTACGTCAACGACAAACATATGTTGTATGTGTAAAAAAAAAACCGTGCTAGTGTCTTTGATATAAAAAAGCCATGGTGCCTTGTTTGTCTAAAATATAATATTTAAATTAGTCAAAGAATTAGAAAATTTTAACTGAAGCAGAGAAAATGTGCTCAGTGTATGCACTATGAATCAACAGTTCCGCTTCGATTATTGCCTCTCGTATGAGAATAGTAAAGATGTGGAGTAGACAGTTATGTTATCTTGTTATAATTGTTTTTATATCATTTACAGATACCATAGAAAATTGAGAAATTAATCCTTCTTTGCATGATCTTTTTTATTGGTGAAATCAAAGTCATATAATCAAAGTGATATAATTCATGTTTAAAAATAAAGGAAAAATGGTTTAAACAATAAATTTGACAGCTATGTTTTTTCTTTCTGCAATGGACATTAAAAAATTATCCAGACACAATCTACTTAAAGTGAACTTCGTCTTTTATATAAGTTTTGGGCATTCAATGTTATGATGGAAATTTCCACCAGTATGTAAAAAAGGGTTAACTATTTTACTTTGCAAAATCGTACGCGTAAATAAATATATAGTTTTAAATTTATAATAATGTTGGAAAGAAGAAAATTAAATAATAGTCGTACTAAAGAATAATATTATTAATTTTGGGAAAAATATTGTATTTGTATGTGATTGTAATACATCAGAATTACTGTTTTATGTACTCATATAATGTATGAGTTCTTTTTCTATATATTATATATATATATATATATATATATATATATATATATATATATATATATATATATATATATATATATATATATATATATATATTAATCTATTTTAATTTTCCTTATTTATATTACAAATGTGAAAGTGATTTTGTTGGTTTGTTAC